CGGGAACATGTTACCTTGTAAGAACTTAGAAGATGGACAGAAATCTCTTAGAGAGGGCTATAAAGCACTGTGAAGCAGAATATGCTTAAATGCTATTGCTATTACTACATACTTCAAGATACTCAGCAGATTTTTCCTCTGAAAACTAGATGTGAATTACCAAATAATGATGCATTTTTGTAATATTTCTGGTTTGAATTTGAGGAGTAGGAGAAGAGGGAATAATCCTATCATACAGCACTATATAAGAGTTACAAATGCATCTTTTGAGATAGATCTTGGCTGTGTCATCTGAAGTACTGGTTGAGTACTTGGAGTTCAGCAAGGCATTCGATAAAGTAGACCATAATCTACTACTAGATGTAATAGCAAGCTGGGCACCTGAAAGCCTGGATCGTGATCAGTGCTGTGATAGCTGGAACTTCAGAAACTGATCATATGTTCTTTTTTTTCAGCGAACCATAACTTTGAATGGACACTGAATGAATGGACGTAAACTGAGAGCTACCTGTATTCTGAAGTAGCTAATAATTAAAGTTGTGGAAACTAAAGAATAATCAGTGATTGTATTATCAACAAGAATAAAAATATATTCATTCAGAGGAAGCTTGCAATATGAAATGTAGACTGAAAAAAGCACAATGCATATGAACACCTTGTAGAAATTAACCTTTATCTCGTAGGATTACTTCTGTTTTTCTTATGTTTTACTGGACATATGGGTCTTTTCTCCATAGTTAATTTTTAATTTTGCAATGAAGTATAAAAACATACTTGATAGATGGAACATTGCCAGGCTAAATCAAAATTCCCAAATTAATAAAATACAACAAACTTATTCACAATTGTACATTGTCAATGAAAAGGACAAGAAAATTGACATACAAAGTTTATTTTCTTTCATTAATTTTCAGTTATTTGTTCAGAGCCTAGTATGTGTAATTGTTTTCATAGGGCTGTTGTTACAGACACTGAGATTGTTTAGTGTTACTGAAATACTTTTTATTTAATTTATTTATTTTTGTCAAGTACGTATTAAATAATATATATAAGTATAAGCATGAATTGAATACATAAAATGAATACAAATAAAGGGAACATTAGGACAGAAAGCGTAGGCACGCTGGTGCTCTTATGCATGCCCCTAATATAATATAATATAATATAATATAATATAATATAATATAATATAATATAACATAACATAACATAACATAACATAACATAACATAACATAACATAACATAACATAACATAACAATATAATATAATATAATATAATATAATATAATATAATATAATATAATATACATACATACATATATACACTCTATATACTTTATTTCAGTAGAGTTTAAGCATTTTTATCCTTATGTATATTTACCCAATTTCTTAAACAGATATTCTACATTCATCAATCCCTTGCATTTTACCATTTCTCTCTTGAAATTTTATAGTTTTACAATATATCATTCTTAACTGCATGTTCTTCAATGAACTGCATGCTCATTGGACCCCTCTTATTTCAGAAATCAGTTCTATCATTTTTAAGGTCAATTGGATGAATTGAAATTCAGCAACATAGCATTCTATTTGCTTGATCTTTTCTCTTGTCTTAATGAAATTAAAGTATTCGTATAGTACAATGAAAATCTTTAGGTACCTTTGCTTCTTGCAAGAATCTCCGGATTTGTCAGAGTTTGTTGCAAAAAACAAATCTAGAAAGCACACACAGGCAGACTGATGCAGCAGGATTCATTAACTTCTTTATATACACAATAATACATGAAGTAAGTTTACAATACCAACAGCAGATTCACAGGCAGAAGAGAGATTGGTTTCAGTTCCAGCAGCAAACTAGTTCACACATACTGGTTTCAGTTTCTCTTTACAGAGTCAGAAGCTGCAGACTAAGACACGCCTTGGCTCTAGTCTGTCTCACTCCCAGTTGGCTTACTTAGTTGCTATGCCTATTCATTGGCTGACCTTGTTACCATGTCTTCCCAGTCATGAATATTTTGACAGGATTTCTCACCTATTCCTTGAGAGAGTTGACTTGCTCATTAAGTGCAATCTTCTAATTTTCACCAGCAGGCAAATATTTATACAAGTGAGTATCTGTGTAAGATATTGTATATTTTGGGCATTTCTTTGAAGCTCTGGTGAATAGTGCAGCCACGACCTTGGTCATAGCTAGGAATATGGAGACTTGGACTGAATTGCAGTGGTGCAGTATGTGATTGTGAGTCCCATAGAAATTCCTGATACACTAAAGAGCTCCAGGAGATGAAATGACACAAGAGAACCTAGAGCGCAACTGGCAAAAGATGAAAACATATTGGGCACAGGTAAGTGCCTCTATTTGGGCTCATCTTGTGATGTTAAGAGTGACAAAGTATGTGTACTTTTCCATTCTTATCATATTTGCAAATGACTGGTGGTCCCATTTGAGGAGACCAGCTCCCTTATGAATAAAAACAGGTCATGGGAACCCTTGAATTGATGCTGTGAGTAATATGCTCACCATCTGTCATACAAAGTTGGTCAGCTTCAGAATTGGGCAGGGCTTATGGAAATGACACATATGAGCCCAGTTATATGGGAAAAGTTTGATCAGATCAATCCTAAAAAAGTCCTTGCTGCTGTGAGTTTTACTATGAATAATGCTCTCTCTCTTAGTTGGTTAAGACCTTCTAGGAGATGACAGGTGGTTGGGTCCAAGTGTTGCTTAATAGAGGAGGGGATGGTGCTCCTACTTTGAAGAAGAGCGTGGTCTTGTTGGGGTGCAATCGTTGAATGGTGTTGGATAACTTTTGCCAAATCTCCAACTTTATGCTTTTAGGAAAGGTTGTTGAGAGAGTGGTAGGCACTCAGCTTCAGAGAGCGCTGGATAAAGAGAATTAGTCAAACCTTTCTCATCAGGATTTATGCTGGGTTACAATACTGAGACAGCATTGATTGTGCATGTGAATGGCCTCTGGAGGTCTTAGAATGAAGGTAGTGCATCTATCCCAGTCCTTGTGGATCTTTTGTTGACTTTCAATACCATCAATTATTATTTTTTTTTAATTTTTTTAATTTTATTTTTATATGCCGCCCTTCTCCGGAGACTCAGGGCGGCTTACAGTGCGTTAAGCAATAGCCTTCATCCTTTTGTATATTTTATACAAAGTCAGCTTATTGCCCCCACAAACCGGGTCCTCATTTTACCCACCTTAGAAAGGATGGAAGGCTGAGTCGACCTTGAGCCTGGTGAGAATTGAACTCGCAATAATTGCAGGCAGCTGGATGTTAAATGCTGCCTTAGTAGGAGGCATTAGCCTCCTACGCCACTCAGGCTCCTCAATTATGATATATGTCTGGGCCAGCTTTAGGGGAATTGTTCCTTTATGGTTCTCCTTTGTTTATGGCCGATTCCATTCAGTGTTGGTGATGGGGTAGAGGTCTAATTGTCTGCATTGAGGGGTGTCTCAGGTTTCAAGTCTCTTGCCATTCCTTTTCATTTATGAAAATGCCATATAGGGCATGGGGTTACATGGCATGGGATTACGGTACATGTTTCCACCCTGTGCCAGTCAGGCAATGTTGAGTTGTTAGTCCAGTTTCTAGAGTCTGTGAGGGTCTTTATGGGGATGATCTAAATGCAGTGCAAGATGGAGTGGCTCTGAGTTTTTGGCCCCCTTGGATCTGGTGGGGTATTATATTTGTTTTCTTTTTATTTCTTCTAATTTTTAAAGTTCTCCACAAATTTTAGTCCAAAAATCAATTTTCTTTTTGGGTTTTGTCACTTTGAACTTCCGCTTTAGTCTTCTTCCTTCCTTTCCCCCCACGCCCATTAGCCTCTGTTATTCCGCTGGGGCACTTTTAACAAATTTAAAGATCTTCCCTTTTTTGCCTATGAGCTGGTAATCACTCACTTGGCATCAGTACTCCGTTCAAATCACCACTCCTGCTCAATACTTGGTCCTGTTGCCTTAGCTTAATGATGGCCACAATGGTCACTGCCCCTGCTGCTGAGTCGAAGAGTTTCCTCTGACCTCCGAGGAACTTGCTGTTCCTCTTGGTCTTCTGAGGTGCCTCTCCTTCTTCTCTGTCCCTACAAGAAAGATCTGGTCCAAAGACCCCTCGGCAGTGGGTTGTCAGCCCGGGATTTCGCAAGGCTCATCAGAGCCTGCTATTCCCTGACTGTCTAGTCGCGATGCTTCCGGTTGAATCACATTATATTTGTTTTCTGATGGCATAGCATCTGCCCAGACAGAGCCAGTGATAGTATGGGGGGGTCTTTCTGAATTTACAGCTCCTGCTCAAGGAGTAGATGCCAGCCATGCTTACCTTTGTACAGATTCATCTTATGCACAAGTTGTACCCATCCTTGGACCTTTAAAAGACTTGCTTACATTCACTTATGCCTGGATCACTTTCTGATTGGATTATTGCAAAGTGCTTTATATGGGACTGTTTTTGAAAATCACCAGGAAGTTAGAATTAGTCCAGAATGTAGCCGCACATGCAGTTTTGGACACCTTCCCGTTTGTCCATATTACACCACAATTGTGTAAGCTGCACTTCCAGTTTTTTTCCAAATACAACACAAGGTCCTGTTGATCACCTTTAAAGTGTCTGAATCAGGGGTGGGTTCTACTTACTACCAGTTCACAATAGGATCGTGCCATAGAATGGATGCAAGCCCTCATAACTTATTTTCTGTTCCATGTAGGCTAGCTTCTCATAATAGAGACAATAGAGTGGAATAGTGTGTATTTATTGCTTTAAGATCTTAGTCATTACCTTCAAGGGAGGAAGCACTATGATGAAGATAACACCAGGCTCTGTTAATTGATCACATGAAAACAACAACCAATATTAACTTTATTAGGATAATGTATCCTAACTTTAAAAAAAAAAAACTCAGTATAATTTTTACCATTTTTTTTACTCTTACATACATATGAGTATTTATCTACAATTCTTCTTCTTCTTCTTCTTTTTTTTTGGTGCAGGAAACTACACCAACAGTTCGAAATGTATAAAGAACAGGTGAAGAAAATGGGTGAAGAATCGCAGCAGCAGCAACAGCAGCAGCAGCAGCAGCAACAGAAGGGCGATGCTCCTACCTGTGGCATTTGTCACAAAACAAAATTTGCTGATGGCTGTGGCCATAACTGTTCATATTGCCAAACTAAATTTTGTGCACGTTGTGGAGGACGAGTATCTTTACGTTCAAACAAGGTATGTAGGTGTTATATCAACTTTTATTCTGATGTTGATTATTTCATTTATCTACCACTTTTTTCCAAGTCTGAGACAGTGGTGGGTTGCTCCCGGTTCTGCCCGGTTCTATAGAACCAGTAGTAAAACCGGCGGGAGGCTCTGCCCACCTGCCATGATGTCATCATGGGTGATCTGCGCATGCGCAGAAGCTTCTGCACATGCATAGAAGTGTGCGCATGAGCACTCCCGCTGCAAACCGGTAGTAAAGGTAAGTAGGACCCACCCTGGTCTGCGACCCATGCTTTAATTGGCATATTTGGGACTGCACTAGATACTGTAGAGGGTGGGCCCAAAACAAAATTTGATTTTATTCAGAGATAGCTAAAATTAAATAAATGTATTACTAAGCAATCTGTGACCCTTGGTTCATCATTTCACAGATACTTCCTCACCTAATTCCTCAATGCCTTCAACAACGGCAGAGCTGTTAATATACTGCCTTCACTGGAAAAGTTCTTTAAAATGTAGGGAGATGTTCAGAGATGTATCTGCCTTAAAAATAGCCCGTGTTGAACTGTATAGAATTGTCAAACATCAAGAGTTGACCACAGGAGATGTTTTATCATATATTTTGTGACAAAATGCTTCATGATAAGTTTTAAGAACATAAAATATTTTATAAAATTTCTTAAATTCCATGTGACGCATGGTTCCCAAATTTTAGACATATTCAATAAATTTTTCATTTGAGGTACTTTGCTTCAAAATGTTTTGCCTTTATGATGCATCGTTCTGTCCAGTTAAATGTTACAAACACAAAGAGTTTTAGTAGTATATATTTAGTAGCTTGGATGAGACCATTTAGGCACTGAGTCCAGTTCCTGAATGGATTAAAATGAGTTTTCTAATCCCTATGTGTTCAATTATATTCAACTTTAGTTTCCCCTTTTTATTAACATTCAACATTACGTGGTTATGTTGAATGTTACACAACATTCTTGCTACTTCAATTTCCTTGACTAAGTAAATAAAATGTACAATGTTTATTTTCAAAACAAGGATAGTTGAGTCTCTTGTATCTTCCTCCAAAACTCCAAGGGAGAAAAGATTATAATTACTTCTCAGTCATGTGCTTAATTCTCTCCATCTGTCACCTTCTGTCAAGGTGTTGACTTGAAGGCTTAAATATCCCCTTCCATGTTTCAGCATTTTTTAATATTGACTTATATATTTATTTGCAAGTTTTGACTAAATGTACAGGCAGTTATTAATTACTTTGTATCACATAAACAACAACAGATTTTAAAGTGTTGCTCTGCTTTTAATTGTTTATTTGTTCCTGCTAGTCTATGTTTCTAAACTCTCTGAGACCAGAAATATCCATGAGATATTTCCTTACTTAAATAGAGAAACAGAAGGAGCCTGGCTGGGCAGAAAAATCAGTGTGTGTGTGAGAGATTTCCAACTTCCTGTCAGCTTTCCCATGTGCTCTCCTTGAGGGAAGCTGGCAGTGAGCATCGGAAACCCCATTCTCTTCCCTTCCCTTAAGTGGGGGAGGGAGCAAGAGCGTGCACAAAATGCCAGTGCAGCACAAGTGCAGATGAGGAAGGTGAACCTTTCTCCATTTACTTTCTACCGGCAAGTTTTACACATGCAAATACTTTGATTTATTTTATTTATTTATTTTATTCAATTTGTATACCGCCCTTCTCCTAGTGGATTCAGGGCAGTGCACAGCCAGAACTAAAACACATACCAATACAAAATTTAAAATTTTTAAAAGAATTACATGACTTTGAATTTAAAACATTCAAACTAAAACCCATTAACAACTTAAAAAGCTAAAAAAGGGGGGGGGAGGGTTCACGCCAGCCCTGCTTGATGGAAAAGAAAAGTTTTTAGGGCATGGCAAAAGACCTGGCGATCCGATATTCTTCGTATCTCCGGGGGCAAATCGTGCCAGAGGGCAGGGGCTGCCACAGAGAAGGCCCTCCCCCTGGGGGTCGCCAGACGACATTGCCTGGCTGACGGCTGACCCTAAGGAGTCCCTCTCTGTGGGAGCATACTGGTCGGTGGGAGGCTATCGGTGGCAGAAGGCGGTCCCGCAAATACCCAGGTCCTATGCCATGGAGCATAGTGGGAATGATAGTGGGAATATGGCAAGGAGTGGGAATATGGCAAGGAGCATCAACAATTATATCCATTCGTTCCATGTCCCCCAGCAACCTGTGGAAAGCTGTCAACGAACATTGAAAATAATGATCACATAACCATGGCTGAGCATTGCACACCATAGTGCTGAACAGCAGCAGTGTAGCATCACTGAAATGGTAAAAAAATATCCCCAAATTTCATTTTCTCAAGAGTAATTGTCCCGGCATTCTATATGTTAGCTCACTTAAGATACTTTTTTAAACAGAGTTTTTCCCTATAATGCACTGCTTCACCCAGCTGATTATTATAAAGTATTGAACAGTTACAAGAATTTTAGGACCATTTAGATGTATGAATGTATGAACAAATAAATATATATTCCACAATTGCAATATAACAGTGAACTAAACTACTGTATTGTCATATACAGTTGTCCCCTCACCCCCACACATATGATAGTTTCTATACCTATCAACATTCTTACTTACTTTCATCATTGGGATATATTTAGGGAGTTTCTCACTCACTCATGATTGTTTTGTAAAATAATTTTATTACTAGGAGCTGTGGTGGTGCAGTGATTAGAATGCAGTATTGCAAGCTAATTCTGCTTGATTGCCAGCAGTTTGATTCTCACCAGGCTCAAGGCTGACTCAGCCTTCCGTCCTTCCAAGGTCGATAAAAGGAGGAGCCAGATTGTTGGAGCAATTACACTTTGTAAGCCTCTTAGAGAGGGCTGTACAGCACTGTGAAGCAGAATTTGTCTAAATGCTATTGCTATTGCTATTACTACATACTTTAAGTTATGTCTAAATCTGCTGAGATCTCAGCAGATTTTTCCTCTGAAAATTAGATGTGAATTACAAAATAATGCATTTTTGTAATACTTCTGGTTTGAATTTGAGGAGTAGGAGAAGAGGGAATAATCCTATCGTATAGCACTATATAAGAGTTACAAATGCATCTCTTGGCTGTGTCATCTGAAGTACTCGTTGAGACAAAGATTCAGAGGCAAGTCCCTGTCCCAGTTTATTTTGGTAGATATACACCTCTCCTGTAAGGAAAATGAGGTGATGTCCCGGTGCCTGGAGGCCGTACGGATCTGGATGGGGAGGAACAGACTCAGGCTCAACCCATCCAAGACCGAGTGGCTGTGGTTTCCGTCGTCCCGATATAGTCATTTGGCGCCATCTCTGACTATTGGGGGCGAGTCGTTGGCCCCCACAGATGGGGTTCGCAACTTGGGCATCCTTCTGGACTCGCGGCTGTCTTTAGAAGAGCATATGATGGCCGTAGCCAAGAGGACTTTTTATCAGGTTCGCCTGATTCGCCAGTTGCGTCCCTTTCTGGATCGGGACTCGTTATACACGGTCACTCACGCCCTTGTCACCTCACGCCTGGATTATTGTAATGCTCTCTACATGGGGCTCCCCTTGAGGAGAACCCGGAGGCTCCAACTGGTCCAGAATGCGGCCGCGCGGGTGGTGACGGGAGCGATGTGGCGCTCTCATGTGACCCCCCTCCTGCGCGAGCTGCACTGGCTCCCGGTGGTCTTCCGGGTGCGCTTCAAGGTTTTGGTTACTACCTTTAGAGCACTCCATGGCTCAGGACCAGGGTACTTACGAGACCGCCTCCTGCCACCAGTAGCCTCTCACCGACCAGTTCGCTCCCATAGAGAGGAGCTCCTCGGGGTGCCATCGGCCAAACAATGTCGACTGGCGGCCCCCAGGGGGAGAGCCTTCTCTGTGGGGGCACCTGCCATCTGGAACGGGCTCCCCTCAGAGATATGGAGGATCCAAGACTTACGCATCTTCCGCCGCGCCCTAAAAATGTTTTTATTCCAACAGGCTGGTCTGGCCTAACTCTCCCTTTTAAATTGGCTTTTAAATTGGGTTTTAAATTGGGTTTTAAATCTCTTTTAGATAAATTGGATGTTTTAATCTTTGAGCCTAAATTATTTAATCTGTTTTTTAATAGTTTTTAACTTTTGTATGTCTTTGTATTTTATTTTTGGCTGTTCACCGCCCTGAGTCCTTCGGGAGTAGGGCGGTATACAAATATGAAAAATAAATAAATAAATAAATAAATAAATAAATAAATAAATAAATAAAATACAGCTTCTGATCTGACCTATTGTGAACTCCCATGTCACTTTATATATATATTGGGTCAAGGAAACCAGTGGCTGAAATTAAATGGCTAAGGAAGTAATGTGAGTTTTCTCATTCCGGTGCTTTATACTGTAGCACCTGACAAAAGAAAGGTTTATCGGCCTGATAGAGTTTAGAATTATTATTATGAGTGTAATGTAATATTGATAATTTTAAAAATTGAAATTAAATTTGAAATATTGACACTGAAGTAAAAATTTGGAAGACCATAAAACCTGATTTCCTCCCTAACTATTGGGATAGGGTGAGTTTGGAGCCTAGTGGGACTGTTGATGTATTATAGAGTGTTGGATGGGGAGCCAGATTCTTGTCTGGCTTATTGAGAGCACCCAAAATTTTGGCTAATCACATAGGTCAAATAAGCAAACATTCTCTTAAACCTAAAACATGATTAAAATAAATTACAAATACTTGTATCTTGATTAAAAATGTTTACTGATTTGACAGATCAGATTTTGTGGGTTGAAATTGAAGGGGGTGTTTGAACTTTGCACAAGAAAGCAATATTAAAAATGAATATTTACATTCCACAACGTAAAAAAATTAATGGTCCCGGTATCAGTATATGTTAGGCTTACAAGTAATACTTGAGTTATGACAGCAGTTGGGACCAGAATTTCTGTTACTAAGTTATAAGGTTGTAAAACACGACTTCAGTGACCCCATTGCTTAGCAACTGCAATCCCAGCAGTT